GCAACCCGAGAATAAACAACATTTTAGGAGTTACGTCACGACTGCCTACTAAGCTCATGGATGACGTAAATTACGTCATTCATGAGCAAAAAGGTTCCATCTCGGCTTTTAGTGTCATTTTTAATGCTTATCTTTTTTTGTGAACTTTTAAGCGCGCCACAGGCAATCTGCTATTGTTATTATTGTAGCAAATGCGTTTTAGATAGTGACAAGGACTTATCTGTTGATCAAAGGGGTAAAACGTTTACCATTAGAGACGAAGATTTCACTTATGGGTTGTCTAATAGATTCAGACTCGTGTTGGTGATTTTTCGAGTGTTACACTGTGTTACACTGTGCAAATGTAACAGACTTGGGTCTTTAACACCCCATCCCCCTCCCAAAAAAAGAAATGCCTAAAAGCTATTTTCAGCGTAGGGAGATGCCGATGGTAAGAAGGAAGTTCTTGCCTTCCATTCCTGGCTCAATCTGGTTATGGAAGATATATTTTTAGACTGTTTATTCTTAGTTGTATCTGTTATTCCGCTGAGCAAATTGGGAAGCCTGGAACGAGTTCACGAACCCACGGGAGAATGGGCTGAACAAAATGGCAGAGGGAAAGAACACAAATTTTAAGGCTTCTCCGTACGCGTCTTTCGTATACTTTACGGCCAAAACAAAGGAAACAATGTGTGAATCCAGGTCTGTTACATTTGCACAATGTAACTTTCCAAATTTCGCCGTCACGACCAATCTATTAGACAACCCGTAACTGAAATATTTATTTATTTATTTATTATTTTTATTATTTTTATTATATTTTGGGGGGTGTTCCGTAGAGGGGGTCCGTAGGGGGAGTCTGTGGACCGGTCCATAGGTAGTCCGCGGGCCCTGTCCGTAGTGAGGGTCCGCGGACCGGGGGTCAGTGTTTTCGGGTTACCTTGATAAATCCGTCCTGATTTGATGGACATCGTTTAGCTTGCCGAAAGTCGTTTTCTTAGGATTTGCATTAGTCCACTAGTTGAGTGATACTAATCAGTGATAGTTATAATGGTAATAATCGGTCGGTGCTACATGACTGCAAGCAGGTACTTTAAAATTGGTTGCTGTGAAGTTTGTTTCGTCCCTAAGACGCGAAAGTACAAGTTGTTTAGCTTTATGGTTAATTAAGACTTGTTAGAAATAGTTCACGCCGGGCTCGCGTGCGCTGTGAATGTGAAAGGAAACTTTGGTGCTCGCTGTTGTTTAAAACTGTGCAAATAAAAGTGCAAAGCAATTTTCAAAATGGCGGCTGAACATGCTATTTTCAATGCTACTAAAGCCCTGCGTCCTCTACGTAATGAAGTCGATAATTTCTTTTTGTTTGAAGAAGTGAAAGCAGCCCTCGCTTCAATTATTGAAAAACGCCGTGTGAGCCAAAACTCTTTGAAACGACGGAGCTAAAATGTCACGAATTCCAGCATCAGCACTCCTCGAAGGAGAAGTCCAGATTTGGCTAAAGATGCTCCACAGGCGCCTCAGTCCAAGAATTAAGGCCCGCAGTGCTTGGACCGTGGAGTTCAAACGGGCGATGTCTTCGGAAAGTTTATCTTTAATTTTACAGGGTGTGAAAAAGGCCTGTTCCGCTCATAGTGTTTCGTACAAATAGTCCAGCTGTTAAGGGACAAAATTGTTCGTTTTTTGATAAAAGCATCAAACTTGGCAGGGTAGTTAACCTCCATAAGACAAATATTTCCTTATATGGAGCCATGCCAAATTTGCTTCCAGAACCATGGAATGCGCATGTCAAAAATATAGTATACAAGGCCCTTACATGGGAACGAGGCTGATGCCAAATACCGCTTATTTTGGCCTTCTGGGACTACTATGCCTAGTATCTTGCTTTTTTTTTAATACAGCAAATTAACTAATGCTTTTGAGTCTTAAATTATGTCACGTGACGTGATAGTCACGTGACCATTATTTTCAATTACCAGCAATAGGCACTGATGAAATCATTACCATTTTTTACGTGCCAATTTTATCATTTGCAATGTAGATTCTA